CTGAATGTAGTGTAAAGCGCTTTTGGGGTCCTTGGGGACTAAATAAAGCGCTATACAAATACAGGCCATTTACTACTTCAGTGGCTCCCTGTTAAATTCATAATTCCTCTCGTGACATACAACATTTTAAATAATGAGGCCCCATCATTACTTTACTTTTCCTTATCCTAACAAAGTACTTCCTGGTGTATTTAAAAGTAGAGTGGGAGGCAGAGCCTTCAGTTTTCAGGCTTCTGAAAGCTTTCTGTGGAACCACCTCCCAGTTTGGATTCAGGAGACAGACATACTCTACTTTTAAGATCAGGCTTAAAACTGAGAATAGGGGAAAAAATGAGACTGAGTTGTTCAAAATTAAAAGATTAGCAAATTAGTTTCATTTGTTGACTATTACTTTGAAAGGATTTAAGCTGCATTTAACTGTGTTAAAAATTTCATGATCTCTTCATCTGTTTTACTCACATCTATGACTGTCTCCCTTGGTGGGTCACTACTAGTTATTATTCTGTACTTTCCCTGGAAGAACCCTGCAGAGTTGTTTCCTCAGAAACTCTAGGGGAGTGTGAAAAACACTGTGGAGGGATTGCGCACGGAGTAATGCCAGTGCAAAATATTTAGAACAGCTAAGTCATTCGAGGGAAACTCTGCACCTGTGTTTAGAAGTAGCTTCAGGCTTTCAGTTTGCTTGCTGGGAAAGCTCAGCATGCTACGTTCTCTTACAGGCTTATAAAATATGAATTGCGTCACAATTGTGTGCTTTGTGAAGGAGGAATTGGCTAAAAGCGAATGCATCCTGCGTGATTTCACAGGAAGTCAGCAGCAAATTTAAGCAATTCGGCTCTCCTTCTCTGTTAAAGCTGAGTTCTTAAATGATTCTTCACAGATTGTTTGATCAAAAATGTTGTAGGTGCTTTTGAGTGCATCATGTGTTTTACTTTCTAAAGTTATTTTTTTCCCCTCCCCAAATATGTAGTAGATGGGTCAGTCCATGAACCAGATGTCGTCTTCTCAGCTTTTTGGATAATAGTGTAAAGGCAGACAATAGGGCTGCTCAATTAATCGAATTTTAATCACGATTACGATCTGGGCTTTCAACGATCATTAAAAATGACTGAGCCGATTATTAGCCCCT